CCAAGACCAACCCAAACACCCGTCATAACTGAAGCAAAGCTCTAAATAGCAACCTATAAATGAATGCAAGCAAAGTTACCTGTTGAGCTAATAAAATACACCTGCAATATACTACCGAATAAGGAGGCAGAAACTCAATTATTTTTGTTGGTATAACCTTTTCCTTCATTTGACAAAATGATATACAATGTACCCAGGAAAACTTGATCCCAGTAGGTAAATAAAAAAATAATATTACCTGTCTCGTGACTAGGCTCTGAGTTTTCTAGTCACTGTACAAGACCATTACTTAATGATCACATGAATGTGTTGTGAGTTCTACATAATAAATATTTTCTTAAACTATTAATACACACTTACCTGATTCAGGAACCGAAATGCTTAGATTAGTGCAAAGCAGCATGTCTAGCTCCCCATACAATAACCTTGGGTTGCCTGCAAGAGAAGAGTAATGACATCAGAATGGCTGATTCACATACAAATGTGACAAACAAGCAGCTAACGGCAAATAGATGCCAATAGCCTCCCATAACTTGGTTGTACTTTGATTTAAGTTTTCTTTATTTCCTGCATACTCAGGCTAATTAATTAATATTTACAATGTTTGACAAAAATAAGTGAAGTGGGGGTTTGTGAATGCAAATCCTCTGGGTTAAATAAAATATTCAAACACCTGCTGTAATTTAATAACAAGATATTAGATAATATTAGAGCTGTAGATAATGATCAACAAACAACCTACATGTACTACCTGAATGTGCATTTTTACAAGATCAATATTGATAAACAAAATCAACAACAATCAGATATATAGGATTTAAAAGCCCCAATTTTTTGTTCATTGTAATTTCTTTGGATATAACAATATTGCACTAAAAATGTTATCAGCCCTTATCTCTGGGCTGAAGTCTAGTTTGTAAACATTTGTCTAATCATAATTTACAATTATAATTTGTTCAGTTTAGTGGGGTTAGATGTGATTATAATGTCATGAATATTTCCAAAACAAAACAACGATGACTTTTAAAATTTAATGTCATAGATATAAACCCACTTAATATGGGTTCACAGTTGTATAGTCCAGGCAGTAACCAACTGTATTAACATGTCATTGTATTGAAAATACAACAATAAACGTATAAATGTACAAGATCCAAAACTCTTAGGTTTGTGAAAAACACCATCTATCTAGTGCAAGACCTTTACAGTTAACTGAAGGAGGAAGAAACAGTCCATAGTTATGGACATGTATATTCCCAAGTGTTATGGTGCCTCATACTAAAAACACAAAAGCCTTTCATTAGAGGTAGCAGTAATTCAGCCACCATCTTTATGCTAGCATCACTTTCCAACATCTTGGAAGCACTGTCAAGGGCCTTCAGAGCACCATGACTTAGGCCACGTTCTCCCCTAGGATCTGTAAGCTAATTCAAACCACACTTTAAATTGCCTACAGCAGACTGCTATACTTTGTACAGTCCTTCCAGTAGATCACCTTCGAGAGCAGCCTCTACACACTTAAGAAGAGATGGAGACAGGTCTCATACAGGTAAAGGTGTTTCATCCTTCAAAGGAATAGAGCATAACATGCATAAGCCTTCTTTGACACACAAGGAACACAATCCAATGAATTGTACCAGATATGCATAGAGAAAGAGAACAATAGTGAAAAAGAATTGATCTTGCAAATGCTGTGTCTGTCATCATTTACTGTAAAGTCCACAATTAAACTTGGTAAGGCCATCCCCATAAAATGCTCATTTCCCACTGCCCCTCCCTCACAAAAGTTGGTATGTCAGTTGGTTAAAAAATATATATATACATAAAAAGGTTAAGGAAAGAACAAATGACAAAAATAATACAAAAATAATTCCATGTGAGCCTTGATTACATCCTCCATGTGAGTACTCCAAAATCTTTAGACGACATGTTCCAAGACTTGGCTTTAAGGTCTGATTTAGTCAGTCACTTAAAGAAGTGCAGAGCTCTAAGACTT